TTGTAAATTCAAATATAGTAGGTTGCACGTGAGGAGGAAAGCTAAAGATGGCTATTACTGGGTGCTAGAACTTCAAATTGTAGTTCTGCTCGCTCTCTGAGATAATTCGGAATCTTTTTATTTGGGTCCCTTTTAATTAGATACAAACGTCTGAAAAGCTAGTGACCAAATATTATTGTTCTAGAGTCTGAGGTACGGAACCAGCCCGGGGCCATGACTTCTTAATGATCTGCAGGCTGCCCTGGTTGTAGCTAATAAATCTGACGTTAAAACTTTGGTGTTATACCTTTTATTAAGTGCAGTGAATTTGGCACTTTCTTATATTATGAACTTGGTACCAAGTCATTAGAAATATCTATGGTCTATTTCAGGCTGCCTTTCCAGGTTTGAAGGAATCAGGAGAAAACATCATTAACCTGTTCGACATCCATGCAGATAAACCACTGACCAATCATTCAGTGTACTGCATTTCAAATGCTGGGCTTCTCAAGTGCACCATGGCACTCGCCTAAGAGTTCGCTCCATTTGTCAGAGTCAGGGTAAATAATGATGCGTCAACAGCGTGCATTACAATGGAACTAGAAAAGCAGATACTCTTTCAAAGGTTCCCATGAATCATACGGGTTAACCTGGTGACGTTGTTAAGGCAGTGGAGTTCCTTTCTTGCGGATCCTCTGCGGGGTATATCACTGGCCAAGTGATTCGCGTGTATGGAGGCAGATCTTTGAGTTAGTAGAACTATATAGGATTGTTAAAGTGACGTTCTACAAAAAAAGCACCGATGTAGGCATGGTGATGAAATTGGACCTGAAATAAACGAAGGAAGGCAACCACTGACAAAAGCCAAAGCCAGACGTAAACTAGCCTGCGTAAACTGGATACTTCGTCAAGAAATTCATTCATCAGTCTAATTTACAGATCGATTTTTGTTCAACCGTAGAAAAGGTCCAATGGCAGCCTTTGTTTGCTTTGTCCAGACGGCTTTGTCAAGAGATCCTAACTGATCTGTCCTATTATGGCTCTTGGTTGTGTAGAGTAGGTATTTGAGAATTGTGTATGGTCAATAGTAACTAATAAAGACTTAAAAAACTTGAACCTTACAATATTTGGCCAAGAACTTGCAAAACAGATAACTTTTTCATGGTTTTCATCAGTTGACTTACTTAACTTATATGAATTTTCAGGGGGTGATACAGTCTTATGTTATAACAGTAATATGTAAAAAAGGCTCCCACTCAAGGTCGATATGATTCGCATCTACAAAAATGTTTAACATCACGAAATTCGCTTAAAAGAAATTTAAAAACGAAAGAGGGGTTGTATTATTTTATCATTTCCTTTTCTTAAGGGGGGGGGGGGATTTTCCTTAAACCTGTTTGAAGCCTTCATTTCTTTTTTTTAAAATCAAGAAAAGTAGTCTCAGTTTAAAAAATCCTGAGGAACAAGTAAGGCCACAAAAACGTACATTTTTGTCACGAGGAGTTTCGGTGCCCCTAAAAGTGTAGAAAAAAAATAACGTGGCACGAACCCCGATACTAACACAGTGCTCAAACTCGACCATACATGAAGGTTACCAACTTTAGTCTTTTTATAAGCAGTGAGGGATGGCTGAACGCTACTGATACAGGTTATTCTCGAAGCAACACCCAGTTTTAAACGCATGGAAAGAAGTCAATAACTCAGTGCAATATAACTGCTGAAAACGTTGGTCATATATCTTTTTAAGAATACGGACATTACTCTATTACTGTATCTTTATTCAATTTAAGCACAACATAGCATTTGGTTTGACTATCTCTCGTATAATCTTTTGTGTATCTGGTTTTATTTAGTTTAATACTCAGCTCTACATTTCACTATCATAAGATTTTTAGTTCTGCATGATTTGTTCATTTAGCAATTTTAGAAGGCTGCCGCCTTTGCTACTGTTTGTTAAAAACAATCCTCGAATGAAATGGCCACAAGATTACAGTTTTTTAAATTGTTATCACAAAGAGACTGTGCGAAACCTATTTATCCATTCTAGCAGAAAACTTCTTTTCTTTCTTTTTTGCCTTTTCTTGGCTTTGTTTTTTGCTCCGAATAATAAAAAAATGAAATTTGAGACAATAACTGTGGAAGGGATTGCTAAAACAACACATACTCCTAAAACGGCGCACAGCGCGCTGAAGATTTTTCCCGCCACTGTGGTAGGCGTCATGTCACCGTACCCCACTGTTGTCATGGTGACGGTAACAAACCAAAATGTGGCTGGGATACTGGTGAAGGGTGTGGTCTGTTCACTGCTTTCACAGAAGTATATTACAGACGAAAACAATATCAGGCTGAGGAACACACATTGTAGAAAGAGCGCCAGTTCTTTCAAGCTCATTTGAATTGCCCTCATAAGGATTCGAAGTCCCTCAGAATAGCGCGTCAGCTTAAACACTGAAAAGAACGCTAACAAGTTTAAAACGCCATGAAGGTAAAGCTCATCTGTTGCTGATCGTATCTCTTTGAGTATAATTTGAATAACATAAGGAAGAAATGACAACATGTCAAAAATTCCTTGCTTCGAAAGTAGATAAGCTCTCTTGTGTGTTGTGCTAAGCGTACGGAGGATGTACTCCAGCGTAAACCATGATACGCAGACCTTCTCGCCAACGGACCAGAAAAGGCTAATGCCGCGGCGTGTTTCTGGTGCTACATTGGTATCTGATTGGTTGCAGCACCGGTTTACTATTAACATTTCTTTTATCGACGGTAGAGTTTTTATGCAGAGCAATGTAATAAAGAGTACTATGACAGCAATTGTCCAGACATCTATCAGTCTGTGTAAGGGTGTGAAATTATGAGTTCTGTTGGGTTCAAAGAGGGCAGCAATCTTGAACGTCAAGCCAGAAGTAATACCTTCGAACTCATCATGATTTCTTTCAGGAACTAAACCAAGCATCCTCTCCGCTTCTTCTCCCAACTCGAAGAACTTCACGTCAACGGCAAATGTCTCATCTGTTATCCCATCAGGCTTTACGAGAATTCCACCATCTTTGCCTCCTGATTGGTAGTAAAACAAGATGCTGTCAAAGGCTTCCCTGTTTCTTTCAAAGTACAAGTCGTTACTAGCAGGGCGGTAGTAAGGCGCTCGCTTTATGGTTGAACCAAGCAAAGAATCAGGCAGGCTCGCCAGTGTGCTCTCATGGGTCTCATACCTCATGCCAGAGATATTGATCACAATTCGATTATGTCGTTCCAATTGTGCAGCCGCCGGAATTCCACTGGTTCTTTCTTCATTTCCAAATCCCCACGCATTAATTTCATCATTGTTGCTGATACCACTTTCTCCCTCTTCCAATGGTCTAAATGCTTCGCCGTTAGTAGGGCAGGTTATCCGCTGATCGATCGACGTCACACTATTAGGACTTCCCGCGATTCTGCCTCGATCAGAAATGGGGAAGGGTTGGTACTCGACATCAACGTCTGAAGCCCGCATAACCTCTATTCACAGAGCTTTGCTTGGAAACAAATTGGCACAAAGAATGTGTCAGTCCAAAATTTTTAAAATAGAACAGATCGGCGAAGTTGAACGAGACAGATTGAAAGGCCTTGTTCTGAATTATGCCCTGTAAAGAGACCGAAGGCTTGAGCTTTTGACAGGGAGGGTAGGTGAGTAATTTCAGATTAAAAAAATCCTAAAGCTGACAGACTAAACACGGAACAGAAAAATACGATCACAGTCAAGCTTGTTTTGTTTCGTTTCTTCTGATACCGTAAGCCCAAAGATAGGCCAGACGTTTTGGGCCCGGGTCTTAGAAAGATGGTCAAGCTTAACTCAGAAACAACGCAAATTTTAAGCAAAGTTTTCTTTTGTCGAAGGACATGCAGCTGGAGCTCCGAGCTATTACTGAATTCTGTTACAATAACAGTCATTAGAAGGTAAATACAATAATAGGTTGGATTAGTACTAATCGACCATTCAGGAACCTGGCCCGGTCTTTTTGTACACTAAATCTGCCCTTACCTTGAATAACTGCTCCTTTGCACTCGATCAAACTACAACACACGAAAATGGTGGCTTCTAAATGAGCAGTTGACTATTATGTAAATAGGAAGACCTTGGCTTCTTGCCTTTGGTCCGTCAGAGTGTTGTTGGGTGCCAGTTAACAAATGTCCCCCCGGGCAAACTATTTACACTAGTATAGCAGTCAAAGTTTGCAAAATATTGTTACCTGCTTGAGTCTTTCTGAATTAAGATGTTCTGTAAGGAATAACCGACAGAATTTCAAATGAAACTTTACCTGTGGTCATAAGTAAATGACCTCAGAACAACTGTAGTTCTTTATTATCATAAAAAACATTCACGTGTGTCCGTCACGCGAACAAACAAAGGGAAAAAAAATCGATAAAAGGATGGGAGAAACTCTTAGCAACGCAAAGACATTTTAAGCGCAGCATGCAAAAGAAGTCAGGAATAATAAAACAAATAATAAAACGTTAAATTGATCATTTTGATGCCTGGCTTCGGTAATTTTTGGATCGTATTAAACTTTTTAATTAATGATACATAATTTATTAACATAATGATCTGTATTAAGCCAAACTACGGCGTTTGAACAACACAAGGATCCTTAATTTTGTTTTTTTTTCTTTGAGGCTATAATTTAATTCCAAAAGAGCATATAGAACATGTGTCATATACGTAACAGGATTGTTGTTTGAGTTACACTTGATGGGCACTTGATCCACTCGACATTTGAACAAAACAACCTGTCGTCATCACTGACATGAGTTAGTTGAGCTTAAACGTTTGTATTTACATTTCATTCTTCCAAAACGTATTTTAATGCTAAAAAACACTGAGGGTCTTTGAGTCTAGAAAAATATCGCATCCCCCTGCAGCAGTGATCGCATATGCGTTAGTTTTGGTTGAACTCATGGTGATTGTTTGCTACAGTTAACTTATTCAGTGTTTTCATTCACACTGCACTTACAGAAGCAAAGTACAGGTAAATAACAATACATTAGCCTTACTTATGTAGGAGCATTACAGCAGTGAATGTGAGCTAATGTAACTTGACGTAATGACTTTCATGACGTCATGAGGTCTATCTTAGATCCGCTATCTTGGACTGAAATTATGATACCTCCAAAACGGTCCTGAAATTCTGGGCCGTCAGGATACATATTAACATAATACTACAACTGAATCAAAGTAATTCAGAATCAAAATTAGATTTCTGTGATAGATGTATCCTTATTTATCGCTGGTATTTAACCTAGATTTCTTTGTGTTAGCGTCCTCCCGTTACTTGTTTGTTTCTCACTCGTTATCGGTTTGATTATTTCTGAGAAACAACAATTTTTTCTTTATTGATCAGCGAGCGTTCCGGTCAAAAATCTTCATGGTTTCTTTTTTGTCTTGAGATGGCAGTCCCTTCGGATCCACAAGCCACGCGAATTCTGAAAGTACAAGCGTAACCATGCAAACAAAAATAAGCAAAATGCGCCTTATATGACTTAAAACTTTACCATTCTGCTGATCTTGATTGCCGTTTTGGATCACAACCAAGTACAACCAAGCACAATCAAGGGTTCGTACAATCAAGTAGAGAACTTGATAAACGGCTTAAAGGTTCTATCTGTGTCTTATCAAAATGGCATATATATCGGTTAACAATAAAACGAAAAGTGCAGAACACTGAACTACTTATCCTACCTTCTATGTCAATTTTCTGGTCTTGCTGAAGGTTAGAGCTTATAATCAGATCTTTCAGCTCCTCGGCAGAAATGTCCCAATGCATGTTTTCCAACAATTCTCTTAAATCAGCTGATTCTATGTATCCGTTGCTCTCAGAATCAAAAACACAAAAAGCTTGTACGATATCATCTTCTCTTTCATCGACAGTTTTCTGTTGTTCCATAAGTTGAATATATTCCTCAAAATTTAATACCCCGTCATCTGAAAACAAGAACTCCTTTGGTTTGTGTGAGCCGACATTGTAAAGTCAAAGAGACTTTGAGTCACTTTAGATAGGTTCATGCGGCCAAGACAGGTTTGGCGACAACCTTTACAAAACGGGTTCTTAGAGTAGATAATATCCTTACCCCGAAAAGCTGAGTAGAAAAATTCATTGTGGATGTTGTTGTTGTTGTTGGTGGTGTTTTGCCATTTTCATGGCACACTAATAACCATCAAGGTTCAAGTTCCTAACAATCTTTTCTTGCTACACTGACATCTACAAAGTAAGTGCGGTTCTCAAGGTCCGCCCAGTTTGAATAATTTTAGTTGAAAAAATGGATTCTGACTCAGTCTAACAGTTACTTTTAAATTGATTTCCACCCGTCTCCCACTCCCTCCGGATGAGTTATTCCCGGAGTACTTACTGTCATAATCAACGTTCAAAATGATCTGTTGTAATTCTTGTTCGTTCACGTTAAAACCCAGAGTTCTCATGATGTCATGTAGCTCCTTTGAAGTGATATAACCATTTTCATCTTGATCGAACAAATAAAAGGCATCACGGTATTCTAGCAAAGGAAAAGTGTTACGAAACTCAAAATATGTTAAGTGCTCTGTTGTTACAGTCACGATAAACGGAAAAAATTAACCTTCCATTTTCAGTTTGCCCTCACGTTCACCAATTTGTGAAAAATGAAAATGTCTCGGTCATTGATAAGGGATTCTACAGATGCAAATATTTCAAACTAATTTTGCTTTCAGTGCTTTCGTTCTGCACTAGTGTCACTTGAAGAAGTAAGGTTTTTTTAGTAAACGAGCAATATTAACACACGCACACACACACAAAGGAAACATGTCATTTAGAGGAAAGAGTGTCAGAGCAAATAACATTTAAATTCAAAGGGTAAGGAAATTTCAAACGCGTTTATTTATACATGCCAAACATCAAATAATCCAACCTTGAATTTGATCGTCAGATAACTTGTCCTGTAGATAAAGAAAAAAACTGTTATTTGGAAACTAAAACAATACTTTGCCATTACCATCTTTACCTGTTTTCGATTATTAAAAAAGTTGATAATTGGTCGTCACGGAAGTGATAATTTAGTATTTGAGATGCTATACTTGACAGAAATTTTATTAACCGGCAAAGCTGATATAGTATGTTGAATTGCTGAAAGCTTGAAACAGTACATTTTTCTTAGTATAAGCTCTGAAATATTAAACGTGGCTCGTCCACATATTTTCCTAGGATATAACTGACACACTTTGTTCGGCCATTTCTTGATAAACTTCTACGCCTTTCCAAGGTGGAAAAGCTGCTGAATATATAACCGTACAAAGATATAGTAATTCTTTAAAAATGATAATTTTAGGAATTTGGAACTGGTAGAACAATACTCATGCTCAGAATACATTTACCACTCGTGTACTGAAGAGTCCATAACCATGAGGTTATTGCTGTTGTTGTTCCACGCTTTCATGAAAAAGACGGATGATAGTTTAAGTAAGCTAGGCTCACACCAGACCATATACTGTGCCAAAAAACAGCCTCCGAAATCCTTGACCCAACAAAGTAGAGGTTTTTTCTATTACAAGTGCGAGCTTCACAAAGTTAAAGTTAAAAAATGAAATAATTTTTTTAGACTGGTCAAAAAAAGGTTTTTGTAATACTTACCCAGGAAAAAGGTTACGTTCAGCGCTCGCGGGTTACAGACAGCTTGCACGGATAATAAAAATGTTTTGTTTTGCAATTCCGCTTTGTTCAACTGAAAAAATGTTCAGTGCGAACTGAAAAACGGCTAAGATGATAATCGCAAATACAGTGCAATGAGATTCGTTGTAGCCAACAGCTTGACTAATACATTTAAAGCGGAAAACTAAGAAAGAATGGAGACTAATACCTACCATTTGCAATTAATGTGGCTGAAACGCCAGCAAATTTCACGATACCTCAAAACGCTAAGCCGAGACCGAGTGCTTCACATAGGCAATGCTATATAGATGTACTAATTGGTAAAACTCTGCATTGACAGTATTCTGCTCTTGACATTTTCAGTGTGATTATCTAGATAACGAGCTTGAACCTGCAACATCTTTGGGAAGCTGCCATTTTTACGATGACTTTATTTTACTACGACTGCAAGAATGCTTAAGGATCTTTTTCCTTGAGCAAATAGACACTACTTTTTTGACCTTATTGAGGACTGAAATGAAAATGAACAAAAAAAAATTGACTACTTTGTCTCGTACAAAAATCGATCAAATTAATGTCTTAAATGATCGGTGTTAAAAGAACTTTATGGGTATGAAAATAACAAAGTGGTTAACCAATGATTTTGCCCCAAAATTTGAAATTTTTTTAATGGTTCGTTTTTCACTAGAAAATGACATAAAATAATGTTATGTTGTGTTCAAGACGGAAAAAAGCCTTTTTAGACTATGAAAATGTGCATCATATACAGTCGCGAAAGTGGCTTCTTTCAAAGGGGTTAACTCACGATTTTGGCCAAAAATTTGACATTTTTGTCCAG